CCCCCCCATGATAAAATGAAACAAAAATGTTTTTAAAAAAATTGCGGAATCTTTTCTCATCTTGTATAATTATTATTTTTAATAGAACTTTTATATATATGTTCTTATCAATCCATCCAAGGGAAATCCACAAATACTGCAGAACCGGTATTCCTTGGTTTCTTAGGAAACAAATTAAAATGAAGAGAAATTAAGCAACGCAAGGTGTAAAAAGGCTGGTTTTAGTTATTAAGCTAATGGTTCGTTTATAAAAAAACGTAACACTAAATTTTGGGTGTATCGACCCCCCTCGTACCTAACGCTTTTGTGACGTAGGCCCCTATCATTTTACTCGTAAAAACAAAGCCCCTATCATTTTACACGTAAAAACAAAATGGCGTAACCCTCTCCTTGACCCATCTTTACCACAGCATTACGAATTTTATGAAGGAAATCTTAACCACGAGGGGCATTTGATAAATCTCTGCATCCCCCTCCCCCTTTGTTATTTCCTCACAACACGTCCAATATTTGAAAACTAGACTTATTTGAGAAGCTTAGTTTGTATTTTACAAGTCTACCTAGGAAAATATTGGCATATTTTTTATTCAGAGATACTATTGGATTTCTATTTTCAGAATGAGACCCGTCGTTATTGGAAACGGACGGTGCATGACGCAAGACACAGTCATTTGCGGATACAACATACCCAAAGGCGTAAGTACTAGAAATAAAAATACAAAGTAGGTAATGATTTAAAAAAAAAAAAAAATTAAAAAAAGCTGGAATTCATGATAAAATTTTTGGGTCAAGGGCGTTATATCCCCCCTGGCCGCAGCTCTACTCCCACGGCTTTTTTTATATTGAAATTTTTTATATGAATTAGTGTGGACATTTTAGAAACACTGCGATGGAGATACGTGTTTTTGCACTCCAGTATTCGGGATGAGTCGTTGTGCCCATGGCAGTCTGAGAGCCGAGCAGTGGCGTGGCGCGAATGATCGATTTATCCATATTCCCCCATCTGAAGCTATGGCAAAGAATCGATTATTGAGGTGTTCGTTGCGAACACTCTGTTTATCGATCCTTTTACATAGGTTTAAATGGCATAACGATCGATATATCGCAAAGCACGCCACGCCACTGGAGCCGAGAAAATCGGATTAACGAGCGAGACATCCAACGATGCATGAGGTGGAAAATGCCTGCGTTTTCTTCCAACTGGTTGGCTTTTTTACTTAATTACATTAGTCCAACATATACTGATTAGCGAGACCGGAAACAGACACAGACTCACACACTCTCACTTGCCGGAGACCACCTCTCCTTGGCAGTTGTCAAATTTCTCTCAAAGAATCGTTTTCTGGATGAAGGAATGTAATTCCATTCCAAGGTTGCAAAATTGACTTGAACAAACTCTTCTTGACTTTCAATCTTTCACAAAAATATGTACCTACTCGTGCAATTTTTTTCCAAAACTTTTTGATTTTTCCATGAGATTAGAGGAAAAATCAGTGAACTTTTCAGTTAGAAATTGCGAACATTCTCCCGGGAAAAATGCAGTTTGCGGAACGAAATTTGGCAACGTTGAGATGTAGTTACGTTCTTTTGGGCGGAAAACAACGAACATTCACATTTGAACGACGCGACTTACTGACAAAGAAACAATCGGTTGGGTGTCTGCACTGCCGTGCTGAGATATAAAACCTTTTGAAGTTTTAATGTTGCCAAAATCTCCTGGTTGCTTGATAAGGAGTGTCGACAAAAAAACGCCTTCATTATGAAAATATACTTCCTAGCATGGCCGTGAGGGCCAAATAGTTGCATCCTGCAAAAACCCTATCAAAACAGTTTGGCAGCATGTAGATTGGCAAAGTAATGCGGTTGCTTTGAATTATTAGATCGCATTCAGCAAAAAGGAACCAGCGCAAATACAGTTTTATAAGAATGTTGCTTTTTCATAATTATCTAAAAAATCTCCCAGAATAGGAAATGGTTTCGGCTTCCCATCAACAGATGGAAACATTTTAAAGGAAAATAATTGTGTACATTTAAATACAGTGCATTTCTTAAGTACATAACTGTAACTTGGTCATTTTTTTACTTAAAAAGCTCGGATTTGTCTTGTTTTATCGGTAATTGACCGGTCTTTAAGACTAAACAAACCGCATTTTGATGATATCTACTACCGTTCGTCCAAAAAAAAAAAAAAAAAAAAAAAAAAACGTGCAGTACTTTTGGGACAACCTATGTACTTGAAGAGAGAAGAAGTTGGACACTTTTGAAAACACTAGAATCGCGTTGGTTCTTTTTTTCTAAATGCGATCCAATTCGTTGATGGAGACTGACAACGCGCAAAAAACGCCTTCATTGTGAAAAGATACTTCCTGTCACGGCTTCAGAGGCCGAATAGTTGCATCACTCAAAAACCCAGCCAACAATCAGCGTGTTGATTGGTGAGGAAGGCGGTTGCATTTTCTGTAGAGATACGACGGTACAGCTATACATTTTTCATGATAATATTTGTGTTATCAGGTCCAAGTGGTGTTCCAGCATTACGTCATCAGTAACAGCGATCGATACTTTTCCGAGCCGGAAAAATTCCTGCCGGAAAGATGGCTGAAGAGTAGCAAAGAGAACCACCATCCGTTCGCAGCTCTGCCGTTCGGCTATGGACGGAGAATGTGTCTCGGTCGACGATTTGCCGACCTGGAAATTCAAACTATAATCACAAAGGTACCTTTAGTTTTACACGATTAGACGAAAATCCATGGTTAAACTGCAGAAATGCGTATCTAGATTTGCGCGAAGTTGCCGCCTTCCTTCCATAATTTGTTATTTACATAGAAAACTTTTTTTGGAACATATTCAACAATATTTTTAATTTGTAATAAAAATAAAGACATGATTTGTTTTTCTACATGGAAAACCTTTTTTTGAACATATTTAACAACATTTTTGGAACTCTTTTTGATTTTTCTTCTCTTCAAAAAGAATATTCTGTGAAAATTTCAAGCCATGGTGTTGCTTCGGTCTCCTTTTAAAAAAATAAATTAGGAGTGGAGATTTGGAAACACCGCAATCGAGATACGTGCTTTTGCAATTTCACCGTCGAAATCTTATTTCTTACAGGAGTACAGGTTTGAGGCGGCAAAAATCAAAATTCTTCCCTGATAGCAAAGAATAAAAAAAAAAACCCCGCTTAGCTTTTAAAGCGAAAATTCTAGCAAAAACAGTTGAAATTAATGTTTAAGGGAACCGTTTTGGGGTATTTTTTAAAGTAAAATTTACAAGAGGTAAAATTTAACTAAAGGAAGTGATAAAAGACCCTAAAAAGATCTACTTCCTGTAGTTTTCGGCACTTAAAGTGCTAGAAAAAAATTAATAAACTCCTAAAAAAGATTCTTTCTTTAAAAAAAATTATTTTACATACATTTAAGAAAATAACGTAAATTTTATAATGATGAGCATTAGAAGAGTAACAATTCTTTTTCCTTCGAGTGTGTGGATTAATCTTGCAATGAACTTCTATTTTTGCTACGAGATGTTCTAAAACGTGACTTTTCACCGATTTCAGATGATCCAAGCTTTTAAAATCGAGTACCACCATGGGGAATTGGAGTACAGGATACATCCTATGTATATGCCCGATGGACCACTTCGATTTAAATGTATCGATCGATAGGCAATGGTCGATTGATCGATGATTGTGAGAGTTCGCGTGAGGAGGCTATAACCTGCAGCCATTCGATCGAATCGAACATTTCGCTGGAAAAGGCCGAGAGCGGTGAACGATGTAACGATGTACACTTCGCGGTATCCGTGAAAATTGAAGGCGCATTTGCTGAATTCCAATTTCTGTTTTTCCCGTAGTGTAGTAATTGAGTTGCCTAATTAGTTTAATTGTTACCTGTTATCCTCTATTGATGTTTCACGCTACAGAAATTGGAGAGCTTACGGTTGTGTCCCGAAGATCCATTCCCATCCGTCCGAAATATTGCAGAACTTTTTTACACTGTTTTATTTGTAAATTAAAATAAAATTTAACTTTTATACCGTTGTGAATGCCTGTGGTTGTTACGTCTCGATGTTTGTTTATGATTCTTTTTTTTCCTCTAAAGGTGACTATATGAGTGGTAAAATGAAAGAAAATGGATGATCCTACAATCTCAGATGAGAATTTCGAAGGAAATACCTAAGGTTGGCGTGTTTTGTGGTTACCTTCCAGAGGAAGAAGAGAATCGCCCCTTTCCACTCATTCGAAAATCTTCATACAACGTTACCAAAAATTTCACAAAGATATTTTGGTCCGTTTACTTTAAAGGAAAAAATAAAAAAAAAAAAATTAAAATAGGATCAGATATTTCGAAACGTTACAAATGTTGCAATAAAGATCCGTATTTTTTAAGCTCAGCCATCGATATATCCGTGGGAAAGGCTGCTTCCTCAAGGAAATTTGGGAACAAATTGGACTGCATTTTGCAATTTGGAGCTACAAATTCCGGCCCGGTTTAAAAACAACGTACGTGCCATTAGTTTCCCTATGCACATAAGTGTTTTTCCAGCGGAGCCAAAATTGATAGTTTCAAATTGCAAAATGCAGTCCAATTATTGTAATCTTCCGTCGCATTTCAAAGGCGCAATGATACAACTATTTGAACTCTCCAGAATGCGTGAGGTATCACGCCGCGTTTGAAGGCGTTTTCAAAACAGCCAATTTTCGATACCCGGATTATCGTTTTGCATACTTCATATTCTTTTGTTATATTCCGTACCACGCACTTGCTTATTTTTAATCCTCGTATAAAAACCTCCCATTTGCTAAATACAATTCTAGCTGGAGCGCACTTCAGCTATGCATTCACGACTGCAAAAATGTTACCGGAAATTGAAAAGGCCAGCGTGCATGAAGGCAATTTCAATTGTAATCTTCCGTCGCATTTCTAAGGCGCAATGATACAACTATTTGAACTCTCCGGAATGCGTGAGGTATCACGCCGCATTTGAAGGCGTTTTCAAAACAGCCAAGTTCCGATATCCGGATTATCGTCTTTCATAGTTCATATTATTTTTTTATTTTTTTTTTTTCATTTCTAACCACTTGTTTATTTATAATCCTCCTATAAAAATTACCCACTTGCTATACACAATTCTAGCTGAAGCGCACTTAAGCTATGCATTCTTGACTGCAAAAATGTTACCGGAAATCGAAAAGGCCAGCGTGCATGAAGGCAATTTCAATTGTAATCTTCCGTCGCATTTCTAAGGCGCAATGATACAACTATTTGAACTCTCCGGAATGCGTGAGGTATCACGCCGCATTTGAAGGCGTTTTCAAAACAGCCAAGTTCCGATATCCGGATTATCGTTTTGCAAAGTTAATATTATTATGTTTTCTTTCCTACCATTAGTTTGTTTTCAATCCTCCTATAAAAACTACTCATTTGCTGAATACACATCTGGCTGGAGCGCACTTAAGCCATGCATTCACGACTGCAAAATCGTCAAAGGAAATCGACAAGGCCGGCGTGTATGGAGGCTATTTCAATTATAGTGTGTTTGAGGAAGAAAATGCACTATTTTTAATTTTATATTACATTAATATACTGTTAATTGTATGAGAAAACCAGAGCTGTAAGTTCAGAATTGTCAGGTTTGAATTCGATTTCACTCAAGTCTTAACGTGAGCTCTGACTTGGAGTCAACAAGACACAAATCCTTGAATACTTAAATGTTTATTCTTTCACTTCTCGGATGATATATTCAGGCTCATGTTGAATTTTGAAGGCAAAATGTCTCAACACTTACCGACGGTGAAACTTCCAAACCACGTATCTCTGTTTGCGACGTTGCAGACTCCCAGCCATATTTTGTTTTTTCGATGGAAAAGTACCCAACATCAATTCTTTAAAACTTCCATGATTTTTCCTCTCCATGCGAAAAAAATTATGTCAAAACTTCAAGGAATGATGTTGATACGTTCTCCTTTTAAAAAATGAAATGAGGGCGGAGATTTTTAAACGCCCTAAACGAGATACGTCGTATGGGAGTTTCACCGTCGATACGTAAACTCTACAGGGTGTCCCTCCCAGCCCTGGTAAAAATTGGCAGTAGAATCTGTGTTCCAAAGACTTACGGCCGGCTGTAAGATTTCCAATAGCTTCTGTAGCCGGCTACACAATTTTTTATAGTCTTTTATAGCCGATGGCGATGAAGTAACTCACATCCAGGCGATAAATGTATGCTAAACGTCACTAATTACGGATGCTAGGACTTAGTGAGTTTTTGGACCACTGCTCTCTTTTTGGGCCGTAGTATCTTGATTTATTTTGCAAGGAAAGCTCCGTACTTTTGATGGATGCCTGCCATTCCTAATATATTAGAGCGCCTTCAGTTTCGTATGATACTGTGCAATTCCTCTAGTGTGAAATAGTTGCTTCAAGCACCATGGCACGCTGCGGTGCGGCAGGCGGGCAGCCAGCGCGAAACGCGCATTGGCGCCTACAAACCTAACAGAGATACTTCACGCGTTGCGCAATGCGTGAAGTATCCCAGTTAGGTTTGTAGGCGCCAGTGCGTCGCCACTCCGCTTTGCGTTAGGCTCTAATATTTAATCTCGCGGAGTCAGCGTTATTCAACTCATGTTTTTGAAATGTTTGCACATCCTGTATGGATTATTCTCGTTTTAATTGATGAAAAAAAATATGTATTAAAGGAAAATATAACGTGTGTTTTGTAAATAGGTTCCGTATCAAACTTAATGATTTCCAAAACACACGAATTTCTACACAATTTCTTATAGCCATTTATAATCGATGGCGAAAAAGCAACAGCCAGGCGATAAAGTGTGAAGCCCGGCGATAGGAACTATAGCCCGGCTGCATAATTTTTTATCGCTTCGTAAAGCCCGGCCGTATGATTTTCTCCGCATTCTACAGCCAGCTATATGATTTTCTGTAGCCTTCTTTAGCCGGCTATAAGAATCCCTATGGTATTTTGAGACGCAGCTCTTATCGCCAATTTTTGTACCAGGGGTGTGAGCTGTAGATTGTTTCAATAAAGAAAAATATTTGTGCGATGGGAGACGAAGGATGCGACGGCAAGACACATCTTATCTCCTTCCATTGTCGATAATGACTGACTTTCATTGAGGCATCATTTGTATACTATTGCTTGCGATGTACACTGAAAAAAAGTAGCTTGAATCTAGAATTTCGACTCTTAAAACCATTGATAAGATAAAATACTCTTGATTCAATCGGATTTTTCCTTGAATTGAAGAGCAAAGCCTTGATTTAAGCGGATTTCCTTTTGAGTCAAGCAAAAATCCGATGGAATCAAGGGTACTTTTTCTTGTCAATGTTTTTAGAGTCTGGACTCTAAGTCCAAGTGACTTTTTTTCCAGTGTATGTTTTCTTGCTCTTTTCCGTACCTAAGTAAAAAAATATGCGAGATGTGTAAATTACTCGAAAGTTTCGAGCGGGAAGTAATGCTAGCGAAGCCTCCTAATGATGAAAAATAAAATGGGTATGAGCGCGGATATTTTAAAAATTGTGGTTGACAAAGCAGGTACTTGTCACTGAGCTTCCTTGAGAGGTTCGGTTTCGAAGTGGCCAAAGATATTTCACTAGAACATCCTTCCCATCTTTAAATTGGAGTTAAAATGACAACTTTTGAAATAAGAGCACCTCAGGTCGATTTCTCATCTTTGGAAAAAATCGCTGTGCGCAACGCACGACACCCCCCCCCCCCCCCCCTCCTCCTGCTGTAACGCACCCGTAAAGTAGGCTTATACCTCCCCCTCCCACCCTTATATTGGAGTTTAACGATGAATTAATTTTATAAGAAGAATAAGCGCCTGTGTCGATGTTTCACCTTGAATGTGAAATATCGGTGGAGGTAACGTGGGACCTTGTGTTGGGTCCCCTCATTTCGCCCATGACGCACCCGTAAAAAGCAAGCTAGACCCCCTGACCCCCCCCCCCCCCCCCC